TCTCGCTGAGTAGTCTAGGACTACAGACGCATTGCCACTCACAACTGCTAATTATCTGTATTTGTTTGTAGAGATAGGGTCTCACTGTGTCCGCCCCGATGGTCAGCGCACTCATGAGCTCAGTAATCCGCCTGCCTGGCTCCCATAGTCCTGGGAATACAGGTGTGAGCACATACACCTGGCCTTACTTTTTCATGTTATCACAGTGACATTCAGGTGTGTGAGCACGAAGAATGTGTGAAATCTGATTGCTTTTTTGTGATTTGGACTACTTGAACCCCAGTCTTAAATCTTCAACTCTTGATTTCATTCCGTTTTGCCACCCTCCTATCCTGCAGGTGAGTCTGCCCTTAGTTGGGTATGTACTTAACTCGAGAGTAGCCCTGGATCCCTGGAGGGAAGCCCAGCCCGCATCCTCCCGTGAGACTGCACGCTGTGAGTTGGCTGCATCACACCAGGAAGAACATTAGCAATATAGGAGGCTTCCAGCACTGGGATGTTCACAGTAAAAATCCCCATGACTCCATCGCAGTTATTTAAGAAGAGTAAGCAAATGACTGCATGTATCATTTTTTTCATAGCATCATACCGTTTTCTTCATGAAAAGTCTCGTGATGATGTCAACCTCATTGTAGAATATGGATGTGTTCTATTATGGATCTGATTCAGTTGCATTTATCAGTCGTTATGTCCTCGCAATACCTAAAGAGCATCATTTCGGAAAAATACTATGAAATGTGAAGTCTGCTGCGTTTTCTGTGTGACTGTGACTGAACGGGTCGCGTGAAGCCACACACTGACTCGAAGGGCATGACCCGTGTAGGACCCTCTGGCGATTCGTATACAGTGATTGAAACCTCCAAACTGCTGTTCAAAGTTGTTCTTAAACATAGCACAGCAGTTTTTAGACATAGAAAGGCTGGTCTTCTATCTTGCATACCATGTAGAATGAAGTTTTCTTTATTTGAAAAAAAATGCTTCTGGTTTTGATAATCGTGGGGTCAAAATGCACTGAATTAAGTAGCATTTTGTTTTGTGTTGAGGTTTCGTTTCTGACCCAGTTAGATCTGAGGATCGTGATACTTTGTGTACTTTCGCGAACCTGAGATTGAGACTCTCCTCCGTTTCTTATATATCAGAAGCCTGAACAATTAGTAGGCAGGGAGGTTCTCTACTACAGCTTGTCCTGAAAGAGCTAGGTGTATTGACCTTCTAGGATTTGCAGATACCTGTGTAGAGTTTCTATCATAGTTTCTCCTTGCATTGACATTCTGCTCTAAGTACACTAGTCTGGCTGTAGCATAAAATGATAAGAGGTATGCTGGACATGAGGAGCCCTGCGTTCATTGTTGTGGCATGTTCTGATACTGGCCTGGCTAGAATGGGGCCTGTGTGCGGTGTGGACCCTCTACTGAGAGCGGGGCTCCACCTGACACCACACAGTCTAGAGGAGCACTACCATAGCTTTCAGATCGAATACACGGGTATGGAATGTGGACTTGGCAAAAGCGGCTCAGGTAGAGTGATTTGGAATTACATGGCAAAAGGTATTGGGTAGCAAAATGGAAATGAGAGGGTTAAGATTAGGCAAGCCTTTTCATCAGCTTAATCTGAACCCTCCATTAAGTACAAGGCAAGAGAAAAAGACAATGCAAGCAAGGCCTGCTTGAAGAATGCAAAACAGCAAGGATTCTCAGAGAAATTCTGCTCCTAGTATAATTGCCTTGCGAACAGCAGAGCACTACAAGAGCAAAGTGTAGCTGTCCAGATCCACATTCTATGCAGTTTTCAAATCCACAGTGAACTGGGATATACATCTACAACTGTGGTTTCTCCTGCATTATTATATTGATGGCTGTCATTCGTATGAAATGTACGTACATAACCCTCACAGTGTACAGAACAGATATGAGCAATTCATACCTGTCTGCATTTTTACTCTTCTCACTGTCTGTGCAGAGTTAACATTTGCATACATAGCTCTCCGTAAATTATTTAACACACTGATCTCATTATCATCAACTAATGTTTATTGGCCGTTGTTAAATGTTCTACCGACTGCTCATGTATAAGGTCTCTGCTTTTCTTGCTATGTGCTGTTATACAAGACTCTGTGAGTGTGTGTGTGTGTGTGTGTGTGTGATGGACTCTTGCTCTGTCGCCAGGCTGGAGTGCAATGGCACTATCTTGGCTCACTGCGCACCTACCACCACCGGATTCAACTGATCTCCGCCTCAGCCTCCCAAGGAGCTGGGATTACAGCACATGCCACCACACGGCTAACTTTTGTATTTTAGTAGAGATGAGGTTTCACCATGTTGGCCAGGATGGTCTCGATCGAGCTTGAGACTCGTGATCTGCCCATCTGGCCTCCAAAATGCGGATTACAGATGTTGAGCCACTGCACCCAGCCTATCGTAGGCATTTTACAAGAGGAGCAAAGTAGGAAAGGCCCTTCTATAGGGTAGCGAGACCATAGGAGTAGACACAAGAAGGCGAGAGAACATACGTAATAATGCTGAACCACAGCATACCAAGTAGGTTGAAGTCCATCTAGAGCCCATGAGATTCAGCACCAGTCTCAGTCTCATGGCTTCTCAGAACCTATGGCCTTCTGTGAGAGAAATCGCATGTATCCCGAGCTTGTTCCATGGCCCTGTCAGGATGGAAAAATCACAAGTCAGTGGTCTTAACTAAAACTAGTTTTATATATGCCTATGGTAGTCCTGGAAGGTAAGAAAGAGCTCACTCTACTGACCCACTCCTAGGGAACCTTTGTATGCAAATAAATATTTTTAATTGCAGATTGTATATGTTTTTTATATATAATACATAGTACCATGCTGTACTGCTTTTCCTGATTTTTGTAAAGATTTGGGAAACAACAAAAATTAAAATCATATTCGTTCTGCCACTTAAAATAGATCGACCACAATAATGCTTTCTTCCTACCTTTTTCTATACACATAATTTTACTTAATAAATGTGGTGAGAGGGTGGCTCACGCTGTAATCCAGCACTTTGGGAGTCAATGACAGGCAGATCACCTGGGGAGTCAGGAGTTTGAGACCAGCCTGCCAATATGTCAAACCTCATCTCTACTAAAAATTACCAAAAAAAAATAGCGAGGTGTGAAGCAGACACTGTAATCCAGCCACTAAGGAGGATGAGACAGGAGAATGGCTTGACCCAGGAGTCGAGGTTGCAGTGAGCCAAAATCGTGCCAATGCACTAAGTGGGCAACAAGAGTGAAAACTCTATCATCAAAAATAAAAAAAAGTGGGAATCTTCCATATTCTGAACTTTGGGGGAATATATTGGATCATATTGGTATTTTGGAGATGCAGTTGTGAGGAGAAGCCTTGGACCTTGGATATAAGTGCAGTAAGGAGACAGCTTCAGCTGAGTCTAGTGATTGGTATGTTGGGAAGGAGTGAGAGTATCCAATCTCGCGCACACTTTTTCTTTTTTATGTACAGCCTTAAGCGTATACCACACCTAGGACGGAGGTCAAAGATGCTGTCCCTGCATGGTCGAGGTCTTATTTACGTCTTAAAACGAGGGTGGGGGGGGGCATAAACACGTGACCACATACAAGTGGATCTATCAGAAAAAATTTGGTGGTATCCAGGCATCCCATAGGATACGGTTGGGTTAAAGGGATGTTAGGGACACCACCGACTGGGGAGCAGTTGGGCCTCAGTTATTTTGGACCTGTAATGAACCTGTCCCAGCATCTCGTAGGGTGAAGTTTAGGGCAGTGAAGAGCAACTGAGTGCAATGCCGAGGTGTCTACGAGAGGGCGGAAACCCCCAATGTTAGCCAGCACAGACAGACCACTGGTTTACGGCCGACGAAAGGCTTCCCATGTGTAGAGCACCACCGTGGAGAGGAACCGCTCTTTTTCTGCAGTCTCAGGAATCAATGACCACTTGTAAGCCTGGAGGGGCCCCAAGGGGCCGCGAAAGACCCACCAGATACCAGGAAACACGGGGCACCTAACAGCGGGCGAAAAAAACTCATCTTCTACTAAAAAAACAACAAAAAAATTAGATTGTGGTCTTATACCGTGGTTAGGTCCTTGGGGCGAGCGACAGCAGGAAGCTGGACTTGTTGGTTGTTAGGCAATCCAGGAGGCTGTGGGCACGAACCAAGATGAAGTGACGTTTCGGTGGGATTGGTGTATAAAAACAACGGTCACCTGTTTAATCTCAGTTGACTAGTTAGGCTGAGGTCGGGTTTGGTGTGACAGCCTCAAGGCGATCTGAGTAAACGATATAACGGTTCGACCCACCCATGAAGTGGCAGCGGTGGTACGTCTTCCTCCAGTCTCGTTGTAGAGAATGTCAGTGAGACCAAGCTAATTCTGAGCATTGCACCCCACGACGGCGTGTAAAAACTCTGAAGACCTGAGTTGAATTACGTACCATAGTAGGTACTGTCTGTTTGGGCAATCCACGTGACGGAAAGTAAGAACAAAACTCTCAGTGGTTTAAAAAAAAAAAAAATAAGTAGAAACTGGGGTGAGTGAGCGTGGACTTCAGAGTGTTAAGCGTCCAGTTAGGGAGTGAGTTGTGTGTTTAAACACCACCACACTATAGGACTTGGAAGGAGGAAGTGACAATTTCAGTGGGCCAAAAAGAATTGTGTACCCGTTGTCGTGTCAGGCCACATCATCACAATGCAGAAAAGCATGGACCCACTGAGACACTAGTCCTTTGCTCCTAGGTACCGAGGGAAGTTAGATCGTTGACAATTTAGGGATGGAGAGAAAAGCCCACTATTTCCAAGTAGAACAGTAAATGGGAGCCAGCGCAGGCCTCCTATGTCGCTTGGGAGTTTCATAAGATGATTGCTTTCATTCTGTTACCCTCATCTAGGTAGGTCCACGTTGTTGGGAACAATGTATTCAGTTATGTCGCTCAATTTCTTTCACAATTAAAAAGAAATAGTTGCGAATAGACCCGTCCCAATTTTTTATTGTTTACTATTTAGTATCAGTTTATTATTTAGTTAATGTATCATTATGTTAGACTATATTTCATTTGTGCTAATGCCAAAAAGATATAATAAAAGGCTCTTTTTTTAATTTTTTAGGTTTAGGGAGTACGAAGGGGAGTGTGCCACATGTGTTGGTGTCGCTTGGGTTCCCTTCATGCGGGCGTAAAAATTGGTGTGTCACAGGGGCCATTGTGGTGTTAAGGTGTTACAGATTGATAGTTTTAGGACCCACAGGAGTTTGTTTTTTGGTAAATGAAGCGAGCCCAACTAGCCCAAGTTCCACTCAGGTAAACACTTGTCCCACTGAGCGTTAATGTCAGTTTTCCCTTCAAACTGCATCCATTTCCGGTTCGAGCTCTTACAGCAGCTTGTTCTCCGATCCTGCTACCACCTTCTATACGTTATAACTTTTGCGCGACCTCCATGCCTAATGTGAGTGTACACCTCTCGGTTGTTTATTATGCAATCAGTGAAACACCACGCTCTCTATCTTAACTACCACTCATGTTCCATGTTATACGTACCAGTCCATGTGTTAATTTTTTTTGTTAGTCACTTGTACTTTCCTTAAGAGGTTAGAGCCTTTGGGATTTATTTTACGTCATTGTTGGCCCAGGTTATGAGAAACATTCCTTGAACTTCTCGTATGACCTTACAAGAGTGTTTGCGTTCCTAACTATTGCAGTTTCAACACCTCTTAAAGTTCGATAATGGTGCCTCCAGCCCATCCTATGTACTGCATAAGGACATGATCTTGTCTTTTCTGTGTTTACTTAACATAAATGGGGGCTGGCGTATTACACAGGTCGGGTACGTAAGCCCCACAAATGTACTCATGCTACTTACTCCCAGCCCATCCATCACTTTTCTGGCAGCTATCAAATGTGCCCTGAGTGATATTGTATGCTCTCGTTTATTGCAGCATGAGTATCTTTTCTCATAGTGGGATATGCTACCACACTTTTCGTTTATCCAGTCTAACCCTTGATGGGGTTTAACTCGAAGCTTTTTAGCTTTTGTGGGAAACTTCCATACTTATGGCACTAAAGTCATTGTGTGGGAACTACAGTGCCTACTACCTCCATTGTGCCGCAAGATTTATCTCCCACAGGCACCCTACTGCCCTGTGAGCGAACCAATCTTTGCCCCAACCTTTCTCTGAACAGGCTTCGTTCACGTTATTCATCGGGAACTATACAATCCACCGACTTAAAATATATGCCCCTTTCTGTCACTCTTCTGCCGCTGTTTTTTTCTTTCGTCATTCACCATCGGAAGATTAATATATTCCAATTACACCAAGTAAAATGTGAAAATTGCTATGGGACAAATCAAAAAAAAACCTAATACTGAATGAGATAGTATCTTAATCACAGTTATTAAGAGATTATACTGGTTGTTTACGTATTTTCTTTTCCACAGCCTTATTGGCACAGACAACTTCCTTAAAGAACTACTTTCCATAAATTGACTCCAACTCTATATACGGACATTATCCCAGCTAAACCAAGCCAGACTGGACAAAAACGGGCATGAATAAAGACAGATCTAGAGTGCTTTCCCATAGTTTCATTTCACATGATAGTAATGATCATGGCACTGGATTACTGTAGGACTATGCTAAGTCCTTAATCTTCTAACAAGAGAATGTTCCTCGAAATTCCTCCTCATAATTTATCTCTACGGTGGATAATATTATGGCTGCCTCATCCACATTTTACTAGGAGACACGGTTTCTCTTTTACCTCTTGCACAACTGTCTATATCCTGAGGAAAGCTCATTGCATCTGGTCGGATGCGCTAATCCTAATTCTGACTGTGACCTTTTGGCATGCCAAGCCAATCTACATCCTATTTAAATAGCCGTCGTACTTATGCTCATTTAACTCATTTTGTCTCGTCTGGCCGTCTGAGTCCCCCTCTTATCTCCCTCTCTTCTCTTATGAGCCCACACCCCTCCCAGTGTCTTCTTTCCCTCCTCTCGCTCTCTCAATCCCGACCCTTCCAGAAACACATCACAATCTACGAGGAGGTTACTCACCGAGGCCTATGTGGTGGCATTGCCTAGGAATTTGCCAAATTTCAGCATTGCGCCACTAAGTAGTTCATTCTATGATTTATGAGGTCTCGTCTGGTGCAATTTTTCATCTCTATGTGTTTGGCCCCTTAGCACTCATAATGATTTTCAGAATACTAGCAATATGTGTTGTTCTTCTGTTTGCTGTCAAAATTAGTCAGGCCTGTTCTCTATTCGCAACATACCATGCACTTTTTTTAAAGGAGTGTTTGTTTGGTGGGCGTTATAAGTTTTTTTTAAAGCCACTTCCTTTATAGGATTTCTCTGTGGTAGGTCAATGGCAACAGTGAAGACAACATTACACTAGTTGTCACTGACCCCGATACCTATCTTCATTCATATAGTAATTCCCCCCCCCCCCTCCCATTTCTCGGGTCATGATGATACATTTTTCGTGCCGAGGGCTCGCTGGGCATGACGGCACTGTAGAAGTGGCACAGCCGCTGGACGGCCCTCAGCTGGCCTGGGCGGAGGACGAAAAGGAAGATGTCAGCCTCCCAGCACTGCAGCGAGGCCGGCCGGGCTCGGAGGCCCCTGTGGTGTGTTTGCCTCCTCCACGCCTCCGTGAGCCGGGACCACATAGGCAGGAGACTGCGCACAGACAGGCCTGGAGCCCATGCAAGGGTAGCCGCTGAGCACACCGCGACATGGACACAGCTTGGGAGAGCGCCAGCCTTCTCTACAACCCCCAGGGCTGAGGTCCTGGCCAGGCCCCGCCCCTGCACCAGGCCACCTGTTTCTGCTTCACAAAGCCCCTCTGGCCAGGACCATGGCTGCCTTCAGCCCAAGCTGACGAGGCCGGGAGCACTAGCAGCCCTTGCTGCAGATGGAACCCTGAGAGACCAAAGCCAAGCGTCGTGTCTGCCACACACAGCATCATGTTGGGGGAATGAGGTTCAAAGCCGGCCCCTGGCGTTCCCACACCTGTCCTCCTTCCAGGCAGCCAGGCTCCAAACCCACTGGCTTCCCGGCCTCTCCCAAAGCCAGGGCGCTGGGAACGGTGGGAAGCTTCTGACTGTCTGGTGTCAGAAACATGCCAGAGATTAACACCAGGAACCAGGTACACCCAATGGACATCGATAACAGCAGCAGAATACGCAGTTCTCTCAAGCACCCACCGGAGAGCCCCCAAGACAGACCACATGCCAGGCCACGGAACGAGCCTCAGTGAGTGGAAAAGGCCTGAGAGCAAAGCTGAGGTGATCTTCAGCGGCACGGACGTGAAACTGGAAATCAACAGTGAAGACAATTTGGGGAATCCAAAAATACGTGGAAATTACGCACTCCTAAACAACCAGCGAGTCAAAGGAGATCATCAGGGAAACCGAAAGTAACTGGAGAAGCAGGAACACGGAAGCACAGCAGGGCCGGGCGCGGTGGCTCACACCTGTCATCCGGCACTGTGGAAGGCCGAGGCAGGAGGATCACTGGAGTCCGGGAGTTCGAGACCAGCCTGGGCAACATGGTGAAACCCCGTCTCTATAAAAAATACAGTGTGATGGCACATGTCTGTAATCCCAGCTACTCGGGACGCTGACGCATGAGCATGGCTTGAACCTGGTTAGAGGCTGCAATGAGCTGAGATTACACCATTGCACTCCAACCTGGGCTACAGCAAAATGCTAAGACGAAGAAAAAATAAGCACAGTATATCAAAAAATTCCAAGATGCAGGTAAGGCAGTGCTCAAAGGGAAATGTTAAATCAAAAACCTAAACTTGGCTGGGCACGGCGGCTCACACCTGTAATCCCAGCACTTTGGGAGGCCGAAGTGGGCGGATCACGAGGTCAGGAGTTCGAGACCAGCCAGGCCAACATGGTGAAACTCCGTCTCTACTAAAAATACAAAAATTAGCCTGGCGTGGTAGCGTGCACCTGTAGTCCCAGCTACTCAGGAGGCTGAGGCAGGAGAATCGGTTCAGCCAGGGAGATGGAGGTTGCAGTGAGCTGAAATTGTGCCACTGCACTCCAGCCTAGGCGACACAGCAAGACTCTGTCTCAAACAAAACAAAACCAAAAAACCCTCAACTCCAACCTTGAGAAACAAGAAAATGAAGAATGAACTAAACCCAAAGCAAGTAAAAGGAAGAAAATAATAAATGTTAGAATGCGGAATACGGTAGGAAAATAGAGAGAATAGGGAAACAGTACAGATAAACGACACAACCAAAAGTTGTTTTTTTGAAAATACTAATAAAATTGACAAATCTTTCACCAGACTGACCAAGAAAAGAAAGACAGGATACAAATGGCGAACATCAGAGACTGAACACCGTGGTTCACGCCCGTAATCCCAGCACTCTGTGAGGCCGAGGTGGGAGGATCACTTGAGGCCAGCACTCAAGGCCAGCCTGGGCAACGTGCTGACACCCCACCTCTATTAAAAATCAATCAATACGTAAAACCCCACATTTCTAAAATCAGAAATGAAGAGGGGACATTATTGCCGACCTGACAGAAATAAAAGGATTCCATGAAAACTCGCAGATCAACCAGCAGATCATCCAGATGTAGCGGCCAATTCCAGAAAGACAGACTACCGAAAGTGACTTGAAAATGACCCCAAGTAAGCATGTGGGGTACCAGCCTGCCCTCGGTCTCCTGGGCTGTTGGCGAGGGGTGGGGAGAGGGAAGCATGACCTCTGTCCCCTGTCCTGTGTTCCCAAGTCTGAATCCCACCCTGGGGGAGGGCCTCGTAGAAGGAGGTGCCACTGGCTAATGTGGCCAGGACCCACCAGAGGCCACAGTAGGGGCTGGGGTGCTGAGTTCCTCCTGGAGGTCCCAAACGTCCCCTTCTAGTCAGAGAATGCCCCTGGGGAAGACGCCTGGGTCTGAACCCTCCCGCCCCTCCCCGGGCCAGGAGCGGGTGCCAGGCCCGTGCTGAGAAATGGACAGATTGGGCCACAGCCCCGGGGCTCTGAGCCAGGCCACAGGAGGCACCTCTGAGTGGTCTCAGTATGCCGGGATATCCATCCTGGGGGGACGGACAAAGCTGCTGCAGGGCAGGGGGGACCCCCGACGGCACCCCAGGTCCTGGCCACTTGCCCGGACTCCGCTTCCCCGTCTGCGCCCCGCCGTCTATAGGTTGCAGCGGCCCCGCCCACCTACTGTCTGTTCACTGCTGGCGGCGGCAGTGAGTAGTCCACAGCACTTGACGGCTCCCCAGTGCTTCTGGGAAAAGGGTTAAGCCACAGCCCGAGGCCCCAGGCCCTGCTTAGCTCCACAGCAGAGCTTCTCACCATCCAGCACCCAACTACTCACTCCCAGCTCTGCGCCTCCCTGCGCAGGCTCCGCTCACTGACCCGCAGTCACACTCCGTTCACTCATCCCGATTACACTTTCACTCACTCACCCCCAAGCCCACCCGCCCCTGCTCACACCCCTGCTTACCCACCCCCACTCACTCACCCCCATTCCCTCACCCCGGGCCTTCACACAGCTACACCACCAGCCCCTCACCCACCACCTACTGCTTGTCTAAACCCTCTCAACCCTCTGGTCCCAGACTAAAGAGACTTCCCTAACGGGCCAAGAGCTGCCCCGCCATGACGACGCTCACCCTTTTGTGGCTTCTCCGGACCAAAGGTCACTTTCCCACGCTCAGCCCCTGCCACCCGAGGACCCCACAAGCCCAACTTGTGGGTGGGGCCTGGTACCCTCTGCACAGCGCGCTGCTTTTGCATGAACTGCTCGGCGGCTTTGGGTGACCACCCGCCCTCGCGTCTTCTGTGAAGTGGGATGTCAGGTGCACAGGGCCGCCGAGATGTCAAGCAGATAACATGGGCACAAGCACTGGCGTCAGGGCCTGGCTCGAGGAGGGGCCCCAAGGCCCAGCTCAGAGGAGCCTGCTCTGTTCCCCGGGCTACATCTAGGGTGACCCATCGCCCCACTGCCTGGACTGCAGGGATTCCCAGCATGCAGGACTCAAGGTAGGGTGGTCCCTGGGCAAACCTGAAAGAGCTGGCTCCCCCCAAAGGGCACAGAGGGCCCGGCCCTGCGTGGGAACTGCCTGTCTCCAGGGCGCATGCCAGCATCTGCTGTTTGCCACGACTCAGCATTTTTGATGATGGAAAAACCAGCACCGGCGTCTGAATCACAAACCCCAGGTGTGCCCTAACCCCGAGTGGGCCCGGAAGGCATGCAGGAGGGATTGGGTCACTCACTTTCCACGTGGCCTGTCTCCACGGCGACCAGAAGGGCCCACTCGTAGTAGCCCTTGCCCTGCTGGGCGGGGCCCTGGCGGGTGCATAAGTGACCCAGCTGCAGGAGCACGTGGGTGAAGTCCCGGCCACACTCCCTGCGGGGCAGCCTCGAGAACAGCCGCACAGCCTCCAGGAGATAGTGCCGCGCCAGCCTGCTGGCCCCCACGTGCAGGCACAGAGCCCCGAAGTTGGCTAGCACCACTGCCTGGTTCCTCTGCTGGCCCAGGCCCTGAGCCACCTGCAGGGCATGGTAGTAGCCCTCAGCTGCCTGCCTCGTCCGGCCGGTCCTCTTCAGGGCCACGGCCACCATGTTGGCAATCACACCCTCCTGGTCCTCGCTGGCCACCCCCGCATCCTGGACAGACTGCAGGATGTCCAGGGCCACCGGGCTCTGCCCGTGCAGCACGTGCAGCCAGGCCAAAGCCACTAGATGGTCCACGATGGCACGGACTCCGGCAGCCGCACTGGCTTCCACTGCCTGTGTCATGAAGGTGATGGCCGGGCCGTGGCACCCGTGGTGGCTGTACAGCTGGGCCAGGCTGGCGTAGAGGGGGCCATGCAGTGGCTGGCCCGTGTCCGGGGTCAGGGAGGCCAGCGCTTGCCTGAGGTAATGGGAAGTCTGGGCAGGGAGGCCGTGGGGCTGGGGGGCGTTCCGGAGCACTAAGTCCACGCTCCTCAGCGAGCTGGCCAGTGAGCCTCGTGTCCGCAATGAGGCCACCTTGACACAGCCCAGCACCAGGTGGGGCAGGCACTTGCGGCTGTAGATGTCAGCCAGGAGCAGGGAGCAGTCCGTGGGCCACGAAGCCGCCGGGGCTCCCGAGTCCCTGTGCAAAAGCAGCAGCCTCTCTAGGAAGGGCAGCGCCTCCTCGGGCTGCTTGAGGTGCACATGGTGCCTGGCCAGCAGGAAGCAGGCCCGGGCCTCGGCCTGCGGGCTCTGGCCGCCCACCGCCCACCGCAGCGCCAGCTGCAGGAGCTCCCCCTCCGCCTCGGTACTGCAGATGTGGCCGGGCATGCCCAGGAGCAGGGCCATGGCTTTGGGCACCACCTGTGCACACTTCTCCCGGTTCTTCTGCTTCCGGTAAATGCTGGCCAGGTTGGCATACACGGCCACCACCAGGAACAGGTCTCCAAAGCGGCCCTCCAGTGCCCCCAGCGCTTCCTCAAAGTACACCCGGGCCTGGGACAGCTTGAGTCTCCTGCTGCACAGCCGCCCCAGGAGGAAGCACAGTCTGGCCAGTGCCATGAGGAGGCCAGCTTTCTTGGCAGTGCCCCGGGCCTGTGCCAGGCGCCCAGTCACCTCTTCCTCATCGCCGAAGCTGCAGAACACAGTGCTCAGCCACGGCAGCGCCACGTCATACAGGCCACGGAAGCCAGCCTTGTACTCGGGAGCGTTCAGGAACAGCAGCAGCGAGCTCGGGCTCTCCGGGTCCGCCCAGTCGTCCTCAGCTTCCAAGCAGAAGGAGGGCTCCTCCGGGTCCTGCAAGCTGTCGTTGCTGGATGCCACACGGAGATCCCAGGACGCTGGCTCCTGGGGGTAGCCTTGGCAAGTCTTGCATTGTTCCAGAACATTCTTCACCTTCTGCAGGGTCTCCTGCGGCTCCGGGCTCAGGCAAGGATCTGCAAGTCACAAAAACACCTAGACAGATTAGAGTCCAGATGTGAGTCCTGGGTCCACTGGGGACAGGTCCCCACATCCTGGCCTCTGCGTTCCTGGCGCAGCACTCTTCAGACAATACTGCCCCACCAGCTTGCCACTCCCCGGTCCTCCTCCTTCGCCCATTTGACAGCATGGTTTCAGGAGACTACGTGTCAGCTCAGTGAGCCTCGGAGATTCTCAAGGCATCTAAAGGAATCTTTTCCTTTAGAATGAAAGCCACTTAAGGCCGGGCATAGTGGCTTATGCCTATAGTCCCAGCACTTTGGAAGGCCGAGGCAGGAGGATTGCTTGAGCCCAGGAGTTCGAGACCAGCCTGGGCAACAAAGTGAGACCGTGACTCAAAAAAATAAAATAAAATAAAATACAAAGAAAAAAAAAACAATCAAAGCCACTTAATTGGACCCGAGTATGCACAGCGCTACAACCACAAATGTCATTACTGTCAGCATATCGGGCCCCCCAGTGGGGTGCGGGAACTCATGAAATCCTCAACAACCAGTCAGAGCTGTTGATCAGCTCCAAAGCCGCTATGCAAAGTTGGTAAAGCCACCCCCGGCAGAGGGCAGGGATGTCGTACACATGTGCCCAGCTCCATGCAGGGAAAGGGACCATCCCTGCGGGAAGCATGGGAAAGCTTCCAGACCCCTGTGGCCACCTTCACCTTAGGTGGTCTGAAAACCTGAGGCCCACGGTTCCTACAGGGTTAACACAGGCCAGGCTGCCCGCACAGCCCCCTGGCGCCGGCTGGCTTCAGGGCATTCGCAGCCAAACCCCCTCCCAGAGGTGAGCAAACACCCGTGCTTCCTGTCGGAAAACTTGGGAGGAAAGGAGACGTTACTGGCGAGGAAAGAATCTGGATTTAAACAGACTCTCTGTTTCAACCTCACATGTAAAAAATATTTTTAAGCCGGGCGCGGTGGCTCAAGCCTGTAATCCCAGCACTTTGGGAGGCCGAGGCGGGTGGATCACGAGGTCGAGAGATCGAGACCATCCTGGTCAACATGGTGAAACCCCGTCTCTTCTAAAAGTGCAAAAAAATTAGCTGGGCATGGTGGCACGTGCCTGTAATCCCAGCTACTCAGGAGGCTGAGGCAGGAGAATTGCCTGAGTCCAGGAGGCGGAGGTTGCGGTGAGCCGAGATCGCGCCATTGCACTCCAGCCTGGGTAACAAGGGCGAAACTCCGGCTCAAAAAAAAAAAAAAAAAAATATTTTTAATACAAACTGTCTCCTTATTCATCTGCAAAGCCTTGGAATAAAAAATATTCAATACAGTTTAGGGGCAAATGTCTGACTTGACTACACCAGACCAGCTAAGAAATCTCCCGCCCGGCAGAGGCGAACGGGCCCCTCCCAGCTGCTACCCTGGCTCTGGAGGTACTCGAACTTCTGCTCCAGGGACTTGGGCTGCCTGTGGAACCACCCCCTGCCCCAGGCAAGCCTACAACAGCCTTCCCTCCCGACCTCCTCTGGGACCTCCTGCCTGTATCCCAAACATGCTTGGATGGATCCCATTCCCAGGGAATTTCCGAGGGCCCTTCACCCCAAGGGGAACTGCGTCCACATCCCCAGGCTCTCTCCACTCGGACCCTGTGTGCTGGGAAGACAGAGCTGTAGAGGGGAGACGGGTCGGGGGTGTCTCTCTCTGAATCAGCGCCTCAGGAAGGAGCAGACCCTTGGGGGACCTCAGTTGAGACTGCTATAACTCTGAATCCAGCCACCCATGAGGGCAGAGTGGCCTCACCTCTCTGAGGAAGAGCAGAGGGCAAGCTGCAGCTTCTCCAGGTCATGAGAAAGGAACCCACAGCCCCACGTGGGCCCAGGCAGTAGAAAGGACTGCCTCAGTCTGGGACCAGGCAGGGGCTGCCATGTTCACTGGAAGAGCGGCCCCCGCAGCCTCCAGCACTGCAGTGAATTGGAGATTTGGGCCCACCTCAGGTGACCTCCCCCAAGCCCGCAGCCCACACCCACAGAGGGGTGACAGCCGCATCCAATGCCCACCGTGTGCTCAGCTCTGTTACCTCCCCCCGGAGTTACCCCAAGGCCCAGCTCAAAACCAGAGGAAGCCAGAGCCACCAGCAGAACCCACCTTGTTCCTGGGGCTGCTCAGTCTCAGCTTCCTCCACTGAGTCTGGAGAGGGAGAAAAGAGAGGTAATCAAAAACCCCCACCAGCACCTCTGGTCCCCTGCCAGGTTGAGCTGGGTGCAGGCGTGGCGGGGTGAGAGCATTGCAGGGTGCAGGTATCGCGGGGTGACGGTATTGCAGGGTGCAGGTGTCGCAGGGTGAGGGTATTGCAGGGTGCAGGTGTTGTGAGGTGAGGGTATTGCAGGGTGCAGGTGTCGCCGGGTGAGGGCATTGCAGGGTGAAGGTGTGGTGGGGTGAGGGTATTGCAGGGTGCAGGTGTTGTGGGGTGAGGTCATTGCAGGGTGCAGGTGCAGACCAGCACAGGAGCACTTCTGACATCTGAGGGAGAGGCACACTAACTACGGGGTCAGAGAATCCCCGCCTTTCAGCGTCTCTGGGTCCCCACTCCACCCAAGCCCTGTGAGGACTCCGATCTCCCATCCTTTGGAGACATCCTCCCATCATCACTGGAGAAAATGCCCTTGGCTTCCATCATCTCCATCAGGGAGCAGGGCACATGGAACGGGCAGCAGCTCTGAATCCAACAGCCCAGGGATCAATGCCACTCCGCCATGCACCCCCACCCTCCTCATCCCTGGGCAGGCAGCTCCCGGGTCTCAGTTTCCACCCTCATAAAGTGGCTGGGTTTCCAAGCAGGTCAAATGAGAAATAGCTGTAAAAAGATGTGGCAGCGTCAAGCACTGTGAACTGCGATAACAGGCATGCAGTTCTGGGGAGGACGCTGCAATGTACCCAGCCCACAACACCTGCACCCTGCAGCACCCCACCCCTGACACCTGCACCTGCAACAATCCATCACACAACACCTACACTCTGCAACACCCCACCCTGCAACACCTGCACCCTGCAACACCCCACCCTGCAACACCCCCACCCTGCAACACCAGCACCCTGCAAAACCCCACCCACCACATCTGCACCCTGCAATGCCCCCACCCACGACACCTGCACCCTGCAAAGCCCCCACCCAGGACACCTGCACCCTGCATTGCCCCCACCCAGGACACCTGCACCCCGCAACGTCCCCACCCAGGACACCTGCACCCCGCATTGCCCCCACCCAGGACACCTGCACCCCGCAACGCCCCCACCCAGGACACCTGCACCCCGCAACGCCCCCACCCAGGACACCTGCACCCCGCAACGCCCCCACCCAGGACACCTGCACCCCGCAACGCCCCCACCCAGGACACCTGCACCCTGCATTGCCCCCACCCAGGACACCTGCACCCTGCAACGCCCCCACACAAGACACCTGCACCCTGCAAAGCTCCCACCCAGGACACCTGCACCCTGCAAAGCCCCCACCCAGGACACCCACACCCTGGAATGCCCCCACCCAGGACACCTGCACCCTGCAAAGTCCCCACCCAGGACACCTGCACCCTGCAATGCCCCCACCCAGGACACCTGCACCCTGCAAAGTCCCCACCCACGACACCTGCACCCTGCAAAGCTCCCACCCAGGACACCTGCACCCTGCAAAGTCCCCACCCAGGACACCTGCACCCTGCAACGCCCCCACACAAGACACCTGCACCCTGCAAAGCTCCCACCCAGGACACCTGCACCCTGCAAAGCCCCCACCCAGGACACCCACACCCTGGAATGCCCCCACCCAGGACACCTGCACCCTGCAAAGTCCCCACCCAGGACACCTGCACCCTGCAATGCCCCCACCCAGGACACCTGCACCCTGCAAAGTCCCCACCCACGACACCTGCACCCTGCAAAGCTCCCACCCAGGACACCTGCACCCTGCAAAGTCCCCACCCACGACACCTGCACCCTGCATCGCCCCCACCCAGGACACCTGCACCCTGCAACGCCCCCACCCAGGACACCTGCACCCTGCATTGCCCCCACCCGGGACACCTGCACCCGCAACGCCCCACCCAGGACACCTGCACCCTGCATCGCCCCCACCCAGGACACCTGCACCCTGCAAAGCTCCCACCCAGGACACCTGCACCCTGCAATGCCCCCACCCAGGACACCTGCACCCTGCAACGCCCCCACACAAGACACCTGCACCCTGCAAAGCCCCCACCCAGGACACCCGCACCCTGGAATGCCCCCACCCAGGACACCTGCACCCTGCAACGCCCCCACACAAGACACCTGCACCCTGCAAAGCCCCCGCCCAGGACACCTGCACCCTGCAACACCCCACCCACAACATCTGCACCTGCATAGAATGGAGGGTCCCAAACCTGCTTCCTAAAAGGACAGGAGACAGCATCCAGGGGCCTCTGGGCCTTGATGTGCTAAGGTCAAGTCTAAGTTTGTCCATTTAGGAAGGGAAGTTGATTTACCGGGTCTAAAAACTTTAAACCTAATATTGTTGGGAAAAACACGTCTTGCAATTCGTGTGACTGAGCAAGCAGGAAAACAAGTGTGTATAGAAACGTATCTGTGCCGGGCACGGTGGCTCAAGCCTGTAATCCCAGCACTTTGGGAGGCCGAGGCGGGTGGATCACGAGGTCGAGAGATCAAGACCATCCTGGTCAACATGGTGAAACCCCGTCTCTACTAAAAATACAAAAAATTAGCTGGGCATGGTGGCGCGTGCCTGTAATCCCAGCTACTCGGGAGGTTGAGGCAGGAGAATTGCCTGAACCCAGGGGGCGGAGGTTGCGGTGAGCCAATGCACTCCAGCCTGGGTAACAAGAGTGAAACTCCGTCTCAAAAAAAAAAAAAAAAGAAACGTATCTGTTTGTATATGTGTGTGCATGTGTGTGGGATTCATGCACGTGTACGTGTGTGCGTGTACATCTGTACAGGCACGTGTGCACACATGTATGCATGAGGTGCGTGTGCACGTGTAGGTGTGTGTGTGCATGCACACAGTGTGTATGAACATGTGTGTTTGTATGTTCGTGTCTGTGTGTGTACGTGCATACATAGGTACGCAAGTAGGTGTGTAGCTGTCAGGCACGGTGTCTCACACCTGTAATCCCAGCACTTCGGGAGGCTGAGGCTGGCAGATCACCTGAGGTCAGGAGTTGGACAGCAGCCTGGCCAGTATGGTGAAATCCGTTTCTACAAAAATTCAAAACTTAGCCGGGCGTGGTGGTGCGCGCCTCTAGTTCCAGCTACTCGGGAGGCTGAGACACGAGAATCACTTGAACCCGGGAGGCAGAGGTTTTAGCGAGCCAAGATCATGCCACTGCACTCCACCTGGGCAACAGAGCAAGGCCCTTTTTCAAAAAAAAGCAAAAAAGGAGGTGTGAGGCACCTTTGTGTTGATCCACACCTAGGCCACCTTCACCTGTGCATTGCACTGCAGCCCCCAGAGAAACCCTTCGCCACAGAGGGGCACTGGGGTCAGAGGGACCATCTCTGTCTTTAGGAGGAGGCAGCCCTGGGGTCCCAGGTGACCAGGCCACACCACAGCCTGGGTTCTTTGTCTTGTGACGAGGAGAAAAGTCACTCTCATTCAGGCGAAGTGCAGTAGGCAGAGGGCTGGACCTGAACAGAAATCCTCAGGGCTGGCAAATTAGAACCAGGCCCACACCCTCTGCCTCACCCAGCGTCTCAGGCAGGTGCCCGGGGCCAGGGCAGGAAGAGCTTCCTGGCGCCCGCCAGAGCCTCAGGGCTGCATTCCTGTGCCCCCAGCCCCCCACCCCTCCTCTCTCCTGCCTGGCTTGTCTGCAGCCCCTTCATGCCCTGGAGGCAGCGGCAGCCTCTGTCTGTTCACCTTTCGGTGCCCAGGGGCTGGCACTCGCTATCTGCAGATGGACAAAGGAAGCAGGCGCTGTGGAGGGGAAGGGGAGGGCAGCAGCCCCGCCACGGGCATTGCCCACACGCACCCAGGCTGTACACCGTGCACACATCGGTGCCTGACATCTGCCCCAGCAACTGCCTGGCATCCTCCTCAGAAAAGCGGCCCTTGCTGAAGAATGACTTTTCTTCCTCACTGAGGAAAATCGCACTTTCCAACCTGGAAAAAATGAAGTGCTTTATTTAAAATGACATATTTCCAAAGTCAGAGTTTCACGCTAAGACGGGTTTCCATTCCTTGATTTGACAGACAGTCCTGGAGCGCTGCTCTCTGCCCCGGGGTGGAGACAGAGATTCAAAAACAACAGCAAAAACAACATAAAGACTGGCCGCAGTGGCTCACTGGGAGGCCCACGTGGGTGGATCCCTTGAGGCAGGAGTTCGAGACCAGCCTGGCCAACATGGTGAAACCCTGCCTCTATAAAAATACAAAAATTAGCCGGGTGTGGTGACATGAGCCTGTAATCCCAGCTGCTTGGGAGGCTGAGGCCGGAGAATCACTCGAACCCAGGAAAAAGAGGTTACAGTGAGCTGAGATTGTGCCACTGCGCTCCACCCTGGGCAACGGCATAAGATTCTGTCAAAAACAAACGAACAAAAAAACCACATCCCGCCCTCAAGGGGTGCCTTATCTGGTCGGGGCAGATACCCAGAAGCAGGAAAGGCTGCAACAGATGCAAACAAGTACTGGCATCTTAGAACAGTGAACTCCTAGTCAGCCTTCAAAGCCCCATCCCAAATGTCCCCTCCCTTATGAAGCCCCCTGCGGCAGCTGCAGGCAGAACCAGTCCAATCTCTCCACATTGTAAACTCCCACTGCTTCTTGTACAACCTCTGCCAGCGCTCCCCAGAGTGCCCAACATAAACTCAGGGTACTGCCATAAAGTCAGGGACAGGAACTACAGGAAGAAACAGAGAGAGAAGGAGAGAGGGAGAGAGGGAGGAAGAAAGGGGGCAATTTTTGCTTATACAACTAAATCACCAGTAAAATATGAAACTTTGAAATGCACCTTATTGAGATTGAAAAAAAAAAAAAAACTTAAGAGAAGCTTATAGCACATTCTGCAAAATCACAGGCCTGTATTCTTTAAAAGCTTCAAAGAAAGACCGAAAACCTGTTTTGTATTAAGGAAGAAAGATAGGACATCTGAATAGAACACATAGTCTGAAATTTTCATTGTCTATAAAGGGTGTCATTGTGACAACTGGTAAAATCTGAATAAGATCTGTAGATAGCAGCACTGAATCAGTGTTAACTTCCTGATTTTGACAGCTGTGCTGTGGTTACGTAAGCAGATGTCCTGGTTTTAGGAACCACACACCGCCTTATTTAAGGGTAAAGGAACATCACGCTTACAACTTACTCTCAAAGGATTTAGAAAAAAATAGAAGTGTAACAAAAAGACAGTAACAAAGCAAATGCCATAACATGTTAGCATTTGTGCAGTCTGGGCTAGGGCACATGGGAATGTTACATTGCTTTTGCAAGTTTCATCTAAGTCTGAAACTGTCAAAAATAAAGTTAAAGAAAAATAAAAGAAGAGCCACCAAGTTGTTCATTAAACAAAAGATGAAAACCCAGGGTCTGGAACAGGAAAGATATTCAGCAAACATTTGTTGAGTGGATGAGAGAAGTCAGAATTGCTCCAGCTGTGAATAGGACCAATGGCACCCGGCCCCGTCATCCTTCTGGGTTAAATGAGGAAGGGCACAAACTGGCTCATTCCCCGGCTCTTCTCTGACCCTTTGTAAGTTCAGTACGTGTTGTCTTCACACGGCCCCCAGTGACCTGTTGAGAAGTTGGGTCTCCCTTGGAGATGGTAAGAAACAGCAAGACCAAGGATCCCCAGAGAGCGCTCTGTGGAATACCAGCTCAGCCAAAAGCAAACAGGGTTGTGTGAGAAGAGGATTCTGGAGGTTAAGTAAGTGTGGAAAAGGCATTTCAACAGGAAAAAGATGCCTTGCTTGTGCAGGGAGTCCCTGGGATCACCCTCAAGGGATGTGGACAAAGCTTTGCCCCCTCCTTAGGGCATGATGTGGTCTGTGATGGAGTGGTGGATGGGAACGTGCTTTGAGAACTGCTGGTCCAGCTCCTGACATCAGCACATGGCCCAGCCAGCTTCCAGCTGCTTCTGATGCACAGGTGCCAGACTTACCAGAGCAAACAGACCCTTTCCAACAGGGGAACAAATGAATGGCTTGATGAGGTATGGCGACCAATGGCCTCCGAGACCTGGTCTGAGAGGTGTCGGTCTGTCGCAGCTCCAAACATTGAAAAGGAATGCTGAAGACAAGCTTCTCATTGGTGGGGCCAGGACCAGGGTCACATGACCCAGAAGGTGGCCTCTCCATGCACCCACATTCTCTGGGCTCCTTGACTGAGGCCTTAAGAAGGTCAAGTCCAGAGAAACCGAATTCCATCAAAGGATGGGCACAGCTGAGCCCTCTCCAAAGACCCCCTGCTGTTGCCCACACCGCATAGTGAGGACACACAAGTGAGCGAGGAAATCTCCCTGGCTGGGGAAGCCGGGTCACAGGCAGGGTGGGAATCACATCAGAAGAGGCATATGGCCACAAGAGTGCCCCAGAGAGGAACCATGGGGGCTGATGGGAGGCCTCAGGAGAACAGGGGGGTCGGTGAGAGGGGCAACCCCAGGCAGAAGGACCCGCGTGTCACCCAGAGCAGTTTTAGAAGGTGTAAGGTACTCTGCACAGCTGCACTCAAGTGAGCCGATGGCGGGCCAGGGGGGCCCGCAAGGCCGGACCCAGAAGCTATTCAGGGCTTTACGGAGGAGAGCCACTGACGTGTGTCCTGGATTAAATTGTGTCCTTCCATTCATGCCTCTTGGAACCTCAGAAGGTAAGCTTTTCTGGAAAAGGGATCTTTGTAGATGTAATTAGTCCAGCTAAGATGAGGTGAGGCTGGAGCTGCATGGGCCCTAGGAGATGGGCACCCTTATAAGAAGAGAATAGAGTAGACACAGAGAGGAAGCCAGCCACACGGAGACGGAGGCACAGTGGAGGGATGCGGCCACAAGCCAAGGAATGCCCAGGGCCACCAGGAGCTGGAAGAGGCAAGATGGACCCTCCCTAGAGTCTCCGAGAAAATGTGGCCCTGCTGGCACTTGGTTTCAGACTTCTGGCCTCTAGAACTCTGAACGAGCACATTTCTGTTGCTTGAAGCCCTGGGTGTGTAATGCCTTATCACGGTAGCCACGGGAAGATAAAGCATGTGGGCAGGTGTGCGTTCAAGAGAACTCTCTCTGCAGCAGCCCAGACGAAGGACACCAGGGGACCTGGGGCCAGCAGCCTGAGGACGAGGGAAGGGACTAGGGGTCATCCACTATGACTTCCAGGCTTGTGCCCCGGGAAGCCAGGTGGACGGTAGCAGTGTCCCCTTAGGTGCGATGGGGTGGGTTCAGGAAGGGGAGGGGCTCCCGCCACTCACTCGGACACTGGGCCCTGCATGCTGACGAGGCTGCTGGGCACAAACCCCACCTGGCCCGAGGCTGCGTGTCGGCCCACGCACCAGGGCAGGCCGGGCACCTGCGCCCCGAGGATCTCGATGAGGTCGCCGCTTTGGAAGGTCATCTCTTCGGGCCCCGAGCCCTGGAAGTCTGCCAACGCTGAGGCCAGCCCCATAGCTGCGGAAGACGGGCACACGGTGAGTGCCAGGGAGGCCATATAGGGCCAGAGGAGGCAGACAGGGCCGATGTCAGCCAGCCACCCTGGACCCTGGGGTATTCGTCTTTTGGCTGCTAGGAGGTTTGTAGGGACCTCTGCAATGAAGTTGGGGAAGTCTCTGTGGTCCTCAGAGCGCGTGGGCTTTTTCTTTTTTGTGTGTGTGAGAGAGAGTTTCTCTCTTGTTGCCCAGGAGTGCAATGGCACAATCTCAGCTCACTACAACCTCTGCCTCCCAGGGTCAAGCAATTCTCCTGCCTCAGTCTCCCAAATAGCTGGGATTACAGGCACCTGCCACCACACCCAGTTAATTTTTGCATTTTCAGTAGAGACAAGGTTTCACCATGTTGGCCAGGCTGGTCGAACTCCTAACCTTAGGTGATCTCCCCGCCTCGGCCTCCTCAAAAGCACTGGGATTACAAGCGTGAACCACCGCGCCCAGCCAGAAGGAGCGTTTTGATCCCTCGGATGAAGATGAGAAAAGTAGAGGCTCGGAGAGGTTGATAAATGAGCCTCGACCATCAGCCTCCGAGGCCGGGGCTCTTTCCTCCTCTCCTTCTGCAGCCACAACCCCTGACCCCACCTCCTCCCTACCCCGCTCGGCCTGGGGCTCTGTCCCCCTGACAGGTGCACCAGCCACCCAGACACTGGCAGCTTGGCACAGAGCAAAAAGCGCCGGACCTGGCATCCAAGCAAAAGGGCTGCTGGCAGTGCCAGCGTTTCACAAGAGGGCACAGTCACGGTCCTCTGTCAGTGTGCGTGACAAATTCAGCCGGCGCCAGCCCACCTTGGCCCAGGGCCTTCCAGGTTGGCAGGAGGATCGAGTCTGAGACTGTCATGTTGCCCTGTCTGAGAAGTGACATTTGGGAGCTCTTTGGAGACAGTGGCCAGGGGCCCTGAGCAGCTTCACTGAGCATCCTGTGAGGCGGCATCAGCCCCCCACGCAGAGCTTCCTGAGTGTCAGTTATGACCTTACAGGCTGGAGAAGATTGGGCTGGTACTAAAGTAACAGGTTTTTGCCATCGAAAGTCATAACAAAAACCGCAAACACTTTGGCACCACCTAATAGCTATCACCCTGGCTTGCGGAGGATTTAGGGCAACTTCCAAAATGTTGGTGCCGCTCCCTGGCACACACCTTCCCCGGGAAAGAGAGGCCCATGGAAACACTTACCCATCCGCGGGTTGTCAGGCGTCACAGGGCCACCCATGAAGTCGTCGATGGGGTCCTGGGGGACCCTCAGAGCCCACCTGGAGCCGGGAGAGGGAGGTCTTTGCTGCGGGATTTCAGATGTGGGGCGGATATATTCTGTGCAGAGACTGGACAGGTCAGCAGCCCCAAGCAGCCTGAGCAGGTCCCTCGCCTCCCCCGACACACACAGGTGTGGGTGCACACACGCACATGCCTGCCCGGGTGTGTGGCACCGCCTCCAGGGACCCCCATGCCCCTAAGCCTAGGCGCCTCGTCCTGGAAACACAACTTCTCCTGTGAACCTGGAGCCCTGCAGACCCCCAAAGCATCTGCCCTCCCCCAGCTCCGCAGTGAGGGGTGAGGGAGACCCCAGCCTGGGGCTCTGGAGGCCTGGATTCAAATCCTGGTGCCACGGCACCTTTGCCAGATAAACCTGGAGAGATCGCTCCTCTCTCTGGGCCTCAGTTCCTTCAGCCAGAAAAAGAAAGGAAGCTGGACTAGATGACTGACAGTCCCTCTTTCCCAGATGACAGAACACACTCAGCGTCCACTGTTGGGACAGCACTGGCCACCGCACATAGGGAGGACTCTTAGGAGAAGCTCCTCTTGGGTCTCAGTAATGAGAGAAGCCAAGCCACAGCCTGTCACTTGAGGCGCTGCAAATCAAGAGATTGAGATTCTTTCTTTGCTTTGGCTACCAGGAAGCTCCAAGCCAAGTTAACGCCCCCTGCTTCAGCGAGTGAACAGGAGCTTGCATGTCACCTGTCCTCACATCCCCTGGCTCTACCTGTGGGTCCCATGTGCGTCCTCAGTATGGGTACACACGTTTTATGTAACTTCCTAAAAACCTTTTCGGATGTGCCGGGTGAGAGCTCATGCTGCACCTCCTGTGCCATCGAACCCAGCATAGCCCTGCTGGGTGAATGTCCTTGGCCCCTCATGCAGCTGGCAGGCCAGAGGCCCAGAGAGGTAGACTGACTTGCTGAGGCCACACAGCTGGGAAGCAGCAGAAACGAGGCCAGGGCCGGGTCTGTCCAGGGCTCCCACCATTCTTTGTCCACCCCCTTGACCTCCAGACAGCCCGGGCCTGGGGGTCTCAGTGAGGCCGACAGCTCCTAGAGCAGCAAAGGCCGGTACGTACTGATGAAACGGAATCAAAGGTTCCGGGGCGGCTGCCACGGCCGCCTCCTCGGAGGACGCGCTGGGGCTCGGCGGTGAAGCGTCTGTTTCTGGGGCCGCCTCTCCCTGGGGAGCCCCTGAAGCCTGCCTGAGGGCCTGGGGGCCAAGTCCTGAATCCCAGGGACCCGTCATCACTCTCACATGGTGGTCAGGACACAGAACGAAGAAGGGCCCTTCAAAAGGATGGAGGGGGTCACTGAGAGTGGCTGGGCCGGGCACAGCTTTAGCCCTGCCCCCCACACCCCTGCTGGACACACAGCAAAGGCAGCACCCACAGGAGGGGCCCCTACGATGTCTGCAGGCACAGAAACCCAAAGGGGCCCAGACCGGGAGGCGGGTCACAGCTCTGCCTCCTTGTGCTGTGTGAGGCTGGCTCGGCCTCAGACCCTCACCCTGGCCTCGGTTTCCTTGCCTGCGTGATGTGGAGCCAGACGTGGGATCCCCAGGGCCCTCCTGCGCGGGCTTCCCTGGCCAGCCCAGTCACCACTGGCAGGCCCCCTTCTGCCGTAGTCAGGTAGGAAAAGGAGCCTCATGTCCCCTCCTCAGACTCAGGGCCAACCACGAGGCCAGCCCAGCAGCCACGTGAGGGACAGGAGGTGGGGCTCGCACTAGACAGAGCCTCTCCTCCGCCGGTTCCCACGCACCTCTGTGTCCCTGCGGCTGGCCAGGGTGTCTACAGCTAAGTGACAGTGCCACACCAAGCGCACCTCCCTGCCTGAAGCACCCCTCCACCTCCAGAGGCTCCACAGCCCAAGCCCCAGGCGTGCTCAGCACAGCCGGATGAGGCCGTCACCCCATTGCTCCAGGCGTGTCCAGCACAGCTGGACCCAGGCCGTCACCCCATTGCCCCAGGTGTGCCCAGCACAGCCGGATCTCAGCTGTCACCCCACACAGTGCTCACCTTCCTGGATGAGGAGGCTCTCGTGGGTCAGCCTCAAGGCATTCTCATCCACGTGGACTTGGATGACCGTCTCCTCCTCCTCGCTGGGCGAGAGCAACCAGTAGGCCTGGTCCAAAAGCAGGTTTGCCAGGCAGTGATGAGTGAAGCCTGCGGAGGGCAGGCCCAGTCACGCGTGGGCTCCAGAAGAGGGGCAGGGAGGCAGGGAAGCCTGTGTGGCCCCTGCACTGACCAGGTCCAGGGAGGTCATGAAGGACACCCACTGGCCCTACCGCCCAACAGCGGTGACCATGGTCAAGTTACATGACCTCTCCACACCTCTGTATTCTCCTCTGTTAGACGGAGGCCATGTGGCTGGGGGCCGTGCAGGCCATGGGGGGTGCGGGCCAGCAGCAAGGTGGGTCTAAAACGCACCTGCATGAGCCCCGCCCGCATCCTGAGCCCATCCCTGTTTCTACTTTTATCAAGGGAAGCCTCGTTTCTGGGATGCTACGAGCTCCCCACTCCCATCTGGGGCAGTGAGCCTTCGTTCACTGCAGCTCAACTAGGAGGCTCGTGCACACTTAAGGCACAGACAAGTGATGTGAGGACCCTTTCTCCACTCAGCGTAGAGTGGACTCTGCGGGATGGGGACTGGAAGCCTGCTGCCCTCTGGATGGGCGCCCTGCCCTGTGGCCATCACTGTGGAAGGGCCGCCAAGGATGAGCCACTTCCTCCAAGAGCCGATCAAGGAGCCCATGTCCACAGTGGGATGAGCATCGGCCCTGCTCACAGGTGCTCGGGGAATTGTGGCTACAATTCTCAATTCATTTTTTTTTTTTTTTTGAGACAGAGTCTCCCTCTGTTGCCCAGGCTGGAATGCAGTGGCGTGATCTCAGCTCACTGCAACCTCTGCCTCAGGTTCAAGTGATTCTCCTGCCTCAGCCTCCCGAGTAGCTGGGAATACAGGCGCCCGCCACCACTCCCGGCTAATTTTTTGTATTTTTAGTAGAGACGGGGTTTCACTGTGTTACCCAGGATGGTCTCAATCTCCTGACCTCGTGATCTGCCCACCTCGGCCTCCCAAAGTGCTGGGATTATTATTCCTAATTTTTTTAGCCCTCAAAGCGAGGTGGTGTAGAAAGATCCCCAGGGGGCTCCGTTACAGCCTGGAATTCCTCCCAGTGGAACAGGGAATGTTCCAGGAAGAGCTCGTGTGGGTCAGCTTCCCGGTCAGCACTGAGGCCCACAGATGCCAGCCTCCCTCAAGTTCTGGTTGAGTGAAATTGCAGAGGGCAGGGTGTGAAGGTAATTAGAAGCGAAGCCTAAATCATTCTTGCAACAAAGACCCGCATCTGTCTAGGACTCCGCCTACTTGACGTTTCTCCTGGAGAACCAGGTGCGCATGCCAGTGTTGCTGTCCTGATAGCGGGGCCTTTGCGAACCAGCCTATTCTAAAGCACGGATTTGTGGCTTACGCTTGTAATCCCAGCACTTTGGGAGGCTGAGACAGGCAGATCACCTGAGGTCAGGAGTTCAAGACCAGCCTGGCCAACATGGTGATACCCCGTCTCTACTAAAAATACAAAAAATTAGCCGGGCATGGTGGCAGGTGCCTGTAATCCTAGCTACTCAGGAGGCTGAGGTGGGAGAATTGCTTGAACCTGGGAGGCGGAGGTTGCAGTGAGCCGAGACTGCGCCACTGCACTCCAGCCTGGGTGACAGAGCGAGACTCCATCTCAAAACAATAAATAAATAAAGCACCAATTTGTAATCGAAGTGTATGGTGTGTAACCAGTGTCTTCCAACAGGTGTCCCCATGACTGATTCTAGGAGGGTCACCTCTTTACCAAGAGCATGGTAGGTAGAAAACTTCCAGATTTCTTCAAACGTCTTAAACGTCACCACGATCCGGTCCTGGTCACTGTGGATGGACAGCAGCCTAGCTGATAACTCCTGAAGAGAAAGATACAGGAGTTCCAGAGGTCCCCAGGAGCTCTGGGGCATCTGTCAGGAGGACAGGGTCCCACATGACAGGGACATCTGGCTAACGTGGCCCCGGCGAGGGATGACACGCCCAGGGCAGATTCCTTCCTAGCCCATCAGCTCCTCCTCCCTTGCTCTCAAGCCAGCTGTGGCTCCCCAGAGCCTGTGGGGAAAAGCCCCTGCCCTGCCCAGAACTCATGTGGCCCCCATGCCCTGGCCCCTCACCCTCGACTCCTCCGGCTCAGCACCCACACACTGGTGCCCACTGGTTCCCCCGGCCTAAGCTGGTCCCTGTTCGGCTGTGCTCTCAGCCCTGAGCAACTTCGGCCCCACCTGCAGTGCCCGCTCTGATTTCTTTCCCACCGCCAACATCCCCTCTCCTCTGGTTTCTATAAATCAGTGGTGATAGGAGCACAAAAAATAACGGCAGCTAGCACCAGAGCCCTTAGGACTCGGGAAGTGTGTCTGGGAGACACTATTAGAGTCTGCATTTGAGAGACAAAAAATAAAGCCTGCTTCTTTCTTCTTTCTTTCTTTTTTTTTTTTTTTTGACAGAGTCTCTCTCTGTCGCCCAGGCTGGAGTGCAGCGGTGTGATCTCGGCTCACTGCAACCTCCACCTCCCAGGGTCAAGCAATTCTCTGCCTCAGCCTCCCAAGTAGCTGGGATTGCAGGCACCCGCCACCATGCCTGGCTAATTTTTATATTTTTAGTAGAGACAGGATTTCACCATCTTGGCCAGGCTGGTGTTGAACTCCTGACCTTGTGATCCACCCACCTCAGCCTCCAAAGATTACAGGTGTGAGCCACCACACCTGGCCTTTTCTTTAGTTTTTTTTTTTTTTTTTTTTTTTAGAGATGAGATCCCACTCTGCTGCCCAGGCTGGAGTGCGGTGGCACAATCACGGTTCCCTGCAGCCTCAACCTCCTGGGCCAGGTCATCCGCCCATTTCAGCCTCCTGTATGGCTGGAACCACAGGTGTGCGCCATCATGCCTGGCCAACTTTCCTATGTTCCTCAAGCTGGTCTTGAACTCCTGGGCTCAAGTGCTCCTCGTTCCTCTTTCTCCCAAAGTGCTCGGATTACAGGTGAGAGTCGCCATGCCCCCCATTTCTTATCCACGGTCTGACATCTCTAAGTGACTCAGCTGAGATGCAAGCCTGGAGCCAGCACGCTGACCCAGTTCACCCGTGCCTGGCATCACCCACCACAGCCCCACGTGTCTAGCAGGTACTATGGGTCCGGCACCCTACAGGTGCTTGATGTGAGTTAATCACATAACCCTCAAGTCGGCTCCTGGGGATGTGATTCTAAGCATCCCCAGTATGTGGCTGAGGAAGGGGGGTTCACAGAGGCTAAGAGGCACCAGCCAAGGCCAGGCTGGTCCAACCCCAGTCAGTGCTGGTAACGCTCAGCCCGGCTCCCAAGCCCCCGGCCCTCAGCCACAGGGAGGTCTGCCAGGCCCAGACACACCCTGTGCCCTCCTCCCCAGAATGCCAGGCTCAAGGGAGGCTGGCTTTGTCACCAGGAAAAAAATAAGATGAGCTTCACACTTGTCTTTTAACTCTCCATCAAAGAGACTGACAGTCCTCGAGGGTGGAGGGCAGGGGGAGGAAGGGACAGCCCAGTGGTCATCAGGGCTGGGGCGGTAGAAGAGCAGAGGGATGGTCACGTGCCCCCCACAAGGCGTGTGGGAGAAACAAGCCCTCACCACCCCTGGCGGTCACAGCCTCCTCTCCAAGGCCACCAGTCGCCTGAGCAGCTCTCATCTCTGAGGACTGCCTCCTGTGTCCCTGGTCCCAGGCACTGCACCCCAGCCCCTGCCTCCCCTCAACTCCAGCTCCCGCCCCTGCCCAGGCCCCAGAGGACTACTCACCCCGAGCACGCGGGCCATCTCCCGGCTGTCATTCTCCAGAAGGCGGAGCTGGCCCCGCAGAGCCTGCTGCAGGCCGGGGTCCCGCAGCCCACTCTTCCTCTGCACAGCCAGCAGCTGCAGGGTGAGGTCTGGAGGGACAGATGGAGGTTGGGCAGTTAGCCTGGCCTGGGCTGGGAGGTCTGTGGGGCACTGTCCTCCCCCGCCAGCCTCCAACTCACATACCTGACCCCGAAGGCTTGGGGAGCCCAAGCCCCGGGTTGCTAACCTTGTCCCACCCCTACAAAGGTCTTGGACTGTTGCTTAGGTCCCAGCCTGTTTCCTTCGGGGTGAGTGCCTGTCCTACAGAGTGATGGGGACAAGCGGACTCATGTCCCCTGCAGGCCAGCACAGCAACCACTGCACACAAATGGTCTCGCCTCCCTGTCACCACACGCTCTGATCCTGCCCCCCAGCGCCTGCCCCAGACACTCGCTGCTTCAGAACCTGCAGGCGCAGGACCCAGGCATCTGCATTTAACAAGCGCCTCCTCCACCCCCATGGTGACTACAGAGGGGGAACTCTGGGGCCATGGGGGCACCCACCTCCAGCAGACACCCCACAAGCACCTTGGAAATCTCAGTTCCGCTTTCCTAGGCCAGCTCCTCTCCACTTCTTCCCTGTCTCTCAAGGGCAGAGGGCCCCCCGGTACCGTCCCGAGCTCAGATCAATGACACCTCCCCACTCACATACCACATCAGCCACCAGCAAACCCCATGGGCTCCACCCTCCACCCCACCTATCCCCATCGCGGTTCTGGGTCCCGGCGGGTCTGCCCTGGGCAGCTGTCCACACCTGGCCCTCCCTCCTGTCTGTCCCCTGGTCCACACAGAGCTTTGACATGACACGCACGCTCAGACCCATCGGCCCTGCTCCCAGCCGTCCCCATGGCTCCGTCCAGAGGAAACTTCTGCAGCAGTTGGCGTGTGCTCTGTCTGCAGTGTCCCATTCGGGGGCCACCCGGGGCAGGAGCTGTGGAACTCCTGAGATCCACGTCCCTCTTCACTCTCCGAGGCTGGAGATTTCCCACCAGAATCCAGGCTCCCACGCTGTGACCCCGTCTGCCCTGTGCACCATCCCTTCCCAGTGCCTGGAACCGCAGAGAAAAAAAGCCTTCCTGTTCCTCCAGGTCAGCACTCGGCCCCAGAGCTACAGGCAGCGACATTCTAGGGACTTTGGCCCTCTATGGAGGGGGCTGCCCCAAGGGAGAAGCAGGGAGAGGGGGAAGAGAATGAGGAGTAGAAGGAGAGAAGGAGAGCAGGGAGAGGGGAGAAACCAGGAGGGGGAGAGGGAGGAAGACCGGAGAAACCAGGAGGAGAAAAGAGGGGGGGGGGGCGGAAACGGGAGGGGAAGAGGGAGGGAGTGGGGGAAAAGTGAGAGGGAGGGAGAGGGAGGAAGAGGGAGAAAATCAGGAGGGGTAGAGGGAGGGAGGGCTAGAGAGAGATGGAGAAGAGGCAGAGAGGGGTGGACTCTCACACCTTTGAATGAGCTTGCAGCACCTGCCTGAGAGCTTTCTGCAGGGGAACGTGGAGGAAACACCCTCACCCCCACCCCCCTGAGACTTCTGGAACCTGGAATCCACGCCCCCAGGAGGAGGCACCAGCCCAGCATTTCACAACCCATCTTAGCCTGAAGTTCCTGCTCCCGTAAGAGGGTGGGCGCGGCATTTTCTTTTCTTTTTTTTTTTTTTGAGAACAGAGTTTTGCTCTGTCGCCCAGGCTGGAGTGCAGTGGTGCAATCTCAACTCTCTGCCACCTCTCTCTCCTGGGTTCAAGTGATTCTTCTGCCTTAGCCTCCCCAGTCGCTGGGGTTACAGGCACGTGACAGCTAATTTTTTGTATTTTTAATAGAGATGGGGTTTCATCATATTGGCCAAGCTGGTCTTGAACTTCTGACCTCAAGTGATCCACCCGCCTTGGCCTCCCAAAGTGCTAGGATGACAGGTGTGAGCCATCCCGCCCGGCCTCTAAATCATCTGTCTCATTGCCTAACATGTCCTGGTCATCCTGAGTGGCCACCAGCCGTGCTGGCCACACAGAAGGAAAGTCAGAGGACAGGTGGCTGTCACAGCAATGGTGAAAAGCCAGCAATGGATGCGGGGTCTCCACTCCTCCCCAGCCGGGGTCGGGGGTCTCCAGAGTAAAGGGCTTTTTACCGCCTCCACAGCTCCCAGCTTCCTGGGACCCCTCTGTGGGCTCTGCTCCCTCACCCAGGGCTGCCTCCCTCCACCCGTGCCCCGTGGAGATCCCATCCAGGGGAAGCCTGTGCCTGGATGTCTTGCCCCACGATGCAGTGGGCACATTCATCCATTTCCCCTTTTTTTGTTTGTTTTTAAGACGGAGTCTTGCTCTGTCACCAGGCTGGAGTGCAGTGGTGTGATCTCAACACTGCAACCTCTGCCTCCCGGGTTCAAGCCATGCTCCTGCCTCAGCCTCCCAAGTAGCTGAGACTACAGGCACATACCACCATGCCCAGCTAATTTTTGTATTTTCAGTAGAGACAGGATTTTACCATGTTGGCCAGGATAGTTTTGATCTCCTGACTTCATGATCCGCCTACCTAGGCCTCACAAAGTACTGGGATTCCAGGTGTGAGCCACCGTGCCTGGCCTTTTCGTCTACTTCTTACTATATGGCACATGTGAAGCCCCTCCCCAGGGTGTCACCCTTGGAGTCCCCAAGATCTGTGTCCCCTGTTTGTGCAGATATACACAGGAACACCCAAGGGAGCCCCCAGGGGCTGTGTCCCCCTCTGGGTGCAGGCCTCGGGCATCTGCATTTAACAAGCCCCGCTTTCTATTCCCACCGTGATTTAAGGCGGGAAGTCTGAGGCCACCCTGTGAGAAGCCCTGGGTTAGACAGTCTTTGACGCCCTAGCGAGCACCACAGCCCAGATTTGAACCCGAAGCCCTGTGTCGGGCCAAGGACATTTACCTGTAGGATAAGCGCCCATCTGGCAGGGAGGGGTCCCAGCAGCAGGCCCATCCACGTGGGCAGGAGGAGCCTCGTCTGCAACACAGCAGATTCCCAGGATTAGGGGAGACCAGGTAAACGCCTGGCTCCTCTGAAGGCGCCAAACGCCCCAGGTCTCTCTGTAAGAAAAGAGGTGAGTTCTGTCCCGCACAAGCCGCCTTTCCCACAGCTACCTTCGTCCAGGCTCCTCACAGCCCAGCAAGGAGGGAAGCTGCCTGAACGTCCTGCAGTGCTGTGACGAGCTGCCCCACACTCTGTGGCTTAGGACAACATCAATTGAGTGATCCCGCCGCTCTGGAGTTCCAGTGGGCCCCACGGAGCTAAAGTGACGGTGTGGATGGGCCCCTGCTCCTTTCAGGGCCTCTGGGGAGAAGCCACTCCTCGCCTTCAAGAGGCCGCACGCATCCCTTGGCTCGTGGCCCCAACTTCTACTTCTGCTGTGTCAGTACGTCTCCCTCCTGCAAAGGCCTGTGATTGCACGGAGGGCCTGCCCGGAGCACCGGGGAGCATCCAGGAGCATCGCCTCTCCATCTCCAGGCTTTGCCTTCCATCACATCTGCGAAGTCCCTTTTGCTGGATGACGTAATGCAGACACAGGTCCCGGGGTTAAGGATGGGAGCATCTTTGGGGGACTTTATTTTGCCGCTGACAGACGGGCTCAGACTCACGGCTTGTGCAGGTCGGAAGCAGGACCTGGACCCCCCTGGCTGCTGGATTCCCCGCTGGGGGCCGCCCCTCTGGCCATTGGTCCTACAGAGTTTGCATTTTAGCCTGGGCACTTCCTCTCGGCCCTGTGAGGTTTCTTCATCCAGAGGCCTCGGGATCTAGGGGGATGTGACTGGGAAAGCCTGGGGCTGCAGCAGAGGGAGTACATGTCTGTGCAGCTGGTCTTCACGGCCTCCTGGCGCCTCACTCAGAGCCCTGGCCGCAGGTCAGCCACGGTGCTCTTGGGCTTGCATTGCAATGGTGCCATTTCACACCAGGGTTTGCTGAAGGACTGCAGTGGTGTTCACTTGCCCCGTGTGGCCAGAATCCATTCTTAGGCCTCATTGGCTTTGCAGCCCCCACCCAAGCCCAGAGCCAGGCACGCAGTGGGGCTCAGAGATGTCCCCAATGAGTCCGGCGTGGTGGCCACGCCTGTAATGTCAGCACCAGGGAGCCCGAGCGTTTAGGAGTTTAAGAGCAGCCTGGCCGCCATGGGAAACCCCATCTCTACTAAAAACACAAAAATTAGCCAGACGTGATGGCGGGTGCCTGTAAATCCAGCTCCTCCGGAGGCTGAGGCAGGAGAATCACCTGAACCCGGGAGGCAGAGGTTGTAGTGAGCCGAGATTGCACCACTGCACCCCAGCTTGGGCAACAGAGCAAGAAGGAAGGAAGGAGGGAGGGAGGGAGGGAGGAAGGAAGGAAGGGCAGGAAAGAGAAGGGGGAAGGGAGGGGGAGGGGGAGGGGAGGGGGAGGAATGTCTCGAAAGGAAAGGTGTGTGCTCAGATCTTGGCCCCCGCTGGCCGGCCGGGGCACCTGGCAGTGGTAAGTGAAGCACACCCTGCAACTACCCCCGTGGGCTGAGAGGAATGTGTGCTCGGACTTCTGAGCCAAAGAATCCAGCAGCGGCCAGCCTGGAGATTCACTCCCTATCTGAGGAAGATCTGAGCTCCTGGCTTATCCTGTGGAATGCAGGCCATGCAGACCCGGGGCGCCAGGTGGAAGATGCTAGAGGGAGGGCGTGAGGGCAGTGCTCCATCGACGGCACGCTTTTCACGGGGGTGCCGTCCGGCCACTGCCATGGAACCACCCGCTGTGTGAGTCTTCTCCATCAACCCTGTCACGGTCGCTGGCTCCGTGTCTCCTCCTCAGCCTCTCCAACAAGGTGCCACCCCTGTTGAAGTTGACAGGGGTCCGGCCCGACAGCTTCTAAACCCCATCCTCCAGTTCAGAAACCAGGGCTCCCTGCAGACCCGGCCATTCCCAGGGCCATGCCAGGGAAAGTGGCAGCTGAGCCCGGAACGCCTCATGTCCGGGAAAGTGACAACAAGCCCACCGAGTGAGGAAGACACGTGGAAAACCCACATCCGGGGTGATTCAAGCGACAACATAAGTAATGATGTATGCAGTCCGGAGACTCAGTTAAATATGTGTGAGCCGGCCGGGTGTGGTGGCTCACGCCTGTAATCCAAGCACTTTGGAGGCCAAGGCGGGTAGATCACCTGAGGTCAGGAGTTCAAGACCAGCCTGGCCAATATGGTGAAATACCGTCTTTAATTTAAAAAAAAAAAAAAAAAAAAAAAGGATGTGTGAGCCTACGCTGATAAATTAGTGAATAACTGGGGAGCGGGCAGGCTCTTCCTTATAGTAGAGAGCCGATTGCTGAGTGGAGACAGGAGGCCTCAGCAGACAGTCACCACCCCGCAGCCCATCCCAAGGATTATTTCAACCAGGCTCGCCCGTGATGAGACGGTAATGCTTCATGAGTTTGATGAGGAACAGGATATCCACACGGTTTCAGAGTGTCATCCCCCCAGCTACTCACTAACTATAGAGGGAAGAAAAGTAACCACACAGCTGCCCCTTCACCAACGACTAAAGTGAGCGTCACCAGCCAGAGACAAGCAAATACTATCTGCAGCGAGGAAATGTCATTCTGCGGGATTCCTGCCCCAAATCCCTGGTGTGATCTTGAAGAAATGTTAGCTGCACTCCAATCGAGGGACAGTCTACAAAAGAAACGAACTGCCTTCTTCAAAACAGCAGCCTCCGGATTGAAAGGCACCTCAGACAGGTCACAAGGTGTGACCCAGGAAGCTTTTTTCTTTTTTGCTATAAAATATATTATTGGGACAAACGGCAAGGTCTGAATGAGGTCTGCAGACGAGTTACGGCGTTATTAAAACAGGAAATTGGCGTTGAAATGATCACAATGCGGTTATTAAGAGAATGTCCTGGTTTTAGAACTATGGACACCTTTTAGGATGAAGGAGGAGCATGTCCAAAATTGACTCCCAAAGGGGTCAGAAGAAAATCACACACACACACACACACACACACACACACACACACACACACACGTGTACACACACAAAGTAAAAGTAATAAGCTGTGAACATTCGAGGAATCAGTGTGAGCAAAAGGAATTCTCTCTGTGCTCTGCTGCTGCCTTTGCTGTCTATCTGAAATTGCCCGGAGAAGACAAGGAGGTGAAGGCACTAAGTAGGAGCCCGCCCCAAGCCAGCTTTCCCTTGGCCCATCCAGCTTCTGAAGCAGGGAGCAGCTCCTCAGCTTGCGTCAGCTGGGCCCACAGAAATTGGCTCCAGGTGGAGGCGATGCCACAGTACTTGGCTGAGCCTCTGGAGGAGGAAACTCCAGCCACTCCGGCCAAAGGCTCTGACTCCCAGCACTCCCCGTCCCAGAGACTCCCAGGTCCTGCCTGGGCCCATTGCTCCGTGTGAGCCTGGCCCGCAGCCCTCCTGCGTCTCAGTCTCCTTGTGCGGTCAGGGGCCTGGGCACGGCCCAGCCCCTTCCTTTCCGGGAGGCCTGCTCTGCAGGGAACTCGATTCCATGGCGGGGTGGGCTCCCCAGGCCGGGCCCCGCCCCAGCCCTCCGAGCCGCCCTTCCTGGTGGGCAGGCCAGTGCCTGCAGACCACTTCCCCTCGTGATTCAGCACAGGAGGCGTCCACCCCTTCCCATCTCCGCCCTCACTCGGAAGGGCAGGATCACAGGTATAAAACACTCCCCACACCTGGCTCCGGGCCGGTGACAGTACTGAGCTATTAATGCCACGATCCAAACACATCTTCCTTCACTGATCCCTTGAACGGTGACAGAGCAGCTACCATGTGCCAAGCCCCAGAGTTCCGAGACATGGCAGGGGGCAGTTATGAGGGGACCGGGCTGAAGCTAGACAGTGGGAGGAGGAGGCCCAGGGAGAGGTCATAGCGGCAGCTGTCTCTGGCTTGGGAGGGGCCATGCAGGCCTTGGTCTCCCTTTCTCTCCCCTCCTCCCCTTCAGGGTCCCAGGACGGGGAGGGATTCAGGAGACTGGGCACATGTCCTGGCCCAGTCCCTAACTGCAGGGTGACCTGGCCTAGCCCTTCCCTGTCTGTACCTTGGGTGCTTCCTGGGGACACGGGATGCCCCATTGTGAGGACTCCCGGGGGTTCTAAGGCCAAACCCATGGGACTGTGTCTGGAGTGTCTCTGAACGTGTGGCTTCAGAGGCCCCTGCCTTGTTCTTTGCCAGTTTTGTTATCACTGACGCACACCTGGAAAAACATGAGCTGGGCTCTGGCCTCTCCATGGACTCATCAGGTGCCGTAGCTCCTGTTAGATACGCTCGGGGCGGGGGCGGTGGGGGAGCAGGCATGGTGGCTCACACCTGTTTTCCCAGCACTTTGGGAGGCTGAAGCAGTCGGATCACGAGGTCAGGAGTTCAAGGCCAGTCTGGCCAACATCATGAAACCCCGTCTCTATTAAAAATACAAAAATCAGCCAGGGGTGGTGGCACGAGCCTGTAATCCCAGCTACGTGGGAGGCTGAGGCAGGAGAATCGCAGGAACCCGGGAGGCGGAGGTTGCAGTGAGCCGAGATCACGACATTGCACTCCAGCCTGGGCAACAATTTGAGACTCCATCTCAAAAAAAAACAGGTAAACGGTGACTTCACAGGATTTATGACAGAGGCAATCAATCAAAAAATAGATAAATAAAAAATAAATAAACATGGAAACGGAGAAGTTCGGGAGAGCAGACCCCAGCCCCAGCCCCAGGAGGCCCGGAGGCGGACAGGGAGGTGACAGACAGGTGGGCGGGAGGGATGGGGTGGAGAAGCGGGTGGGGAGGGTGGAGGGGCTCACCTCCTGTCCCCGGCGCCTTGGCCTCCCCAGGCCCTGCTTTCTCCCAGCTCACAGAGGGCCTCATGGCCACAGTCCGGACCTGGTCCTTGCTGCCGCCACTTCCCGAAGGCCCCACAGGCCCCCTCCCCCTGGGGGTCGGCTCCTCAGTGGTCAAGGCAGGGAGGTTCTCCATGACCCGTGGAGGCTTCACATGCCTGGCCCTGTGGACAGAGAGGGTGTGGTCAGCAGAGGCGGCCTCTCCAGGACCAGCGGGGGGCCACGTCCATCCCACTGCTGCGGGGCCTCCCCTCCCCTTCCTGGGTTTGCTGTGCTCCTGTCCTCCACGGGGCCTTCTCTTGCTGGTTTTCTGCCCGGAGGCCCCTTCCCCATCGAGGCTGAGCCCCCGGGTGCCTCGGGCCCCTCCTCAGGAGCAGGTCACTGCCTCTTTCCTGGGCCGTCATGCCCGACAGATCCTGCCCCGGGAGTCAGGGCTCGGTGGCCTGTCAGAAGGCACAGAAGGACACAGAGTCCCCCTTTGGGTGTCACGTGCAGGCGCAGGGACCATGGGGCCAGTGGCCTGGGCCGGGACTGAGGCATGCAGGGGACAGATCCCAGCTGTGGCCACAGAGACAGGGTCAGCCACGTCCTTCTCAGAGGAGAGGGTGGCAAACGCGTAGTCAAGACACCTGCTATGCCCGCAGGGAGGGCCCAGTCGTGTGGGGAGCCCTGGTCCCCGGCTGGGGGTGGGGAAGGGTCAACCGTGCCCCGCAGAGCGCCATGGGCCGGGCGGTTTGCAGGCCCAGAGCCTCAGGGAGCGATGGGGACGCGGAGGAAGGGGCAGGGGCTGCGTCCGCGCCTGGTGTGTGGTGACGCGCCTCTTCCTGCGGCTGCTGAAGGCTCGCTGCCCCTGCGTGGTGAAAATGTGAGGCGGGAAGAGCCAAGCCAGCGTTCCGTCAGCACCCCGGCCCGGGAGACGTTCGAGCAAACACTGGGACACACTTTCCGGCGTGTGGATTTGTCCCCTTGCCCCCGGCAGCCAGCAAAAACCCCCTCTGCAGGCAGGGCAAGGAGAACCCGGGCAGCCAAGCCTCGGACTGCTGTTTGGGGCAAAAATACGAATCTGGCCTCCTGCTGTCCCACTGCCCTTTCTGTGGTGGACGCCGGGGTCAGGGCACCCAGGGCTCGGCAGGGCCTCCGTCCGGGCCTCAGAGCCCCGACGGGCCCCCCAGGCTGGGGCGTGCCAGCTGCCAGGACGCCCCCCAGAGCCTCCCGTCCCTGTCCCCATCTCCATCTCCACCCTGGTCTCTGGGCAGGGAATGTGGCAGGGGACTGCGAGAGAAACCAGGCAGCGCTGGGGGCACACGGGGTATGCAGTCAGGGACAGGGACGCGGCTGTGGGGCGAGGCAGGAGGCCCTGGGCGTGGAGCACCTGGGAAGGGCAGAGAGGCAGCCCTGGGGCTCGAAGCCGGGAACGGGGGACAAGTCCACGCGCCGGCAAGTCCGTCCCAGCGTCTGCTCAGAATGTCTGGCAGGGGCGGGGCAATTGGAGGCGGGGGCTACCGGGGACACTGGGCTGATTTCTTCCCCACCTCAAGTTTTTACTGAACAGAGACAGCTGAGCGTGCCTTAGACAGCAGCAGGGCCCAGCATATGGCAAGCACAGACGAAGCCCAGTTTCCTTCCCCAGCACCCCCAGTACCGCACCCACACCCTGAGGCTCTGAGCTGGAAAACCCAGAGGCCGTCAAGACTGACCTCAGCACGGCCCCAGGACAGTGGGTGCCAACAGGCACACCTCCCAGTGCCAGACACCTTGGCCCAGCAACCCTCAAGGAAGGTCTACCTCCCCGGAACACAGATGGGGAAACCGAGGCTCTGAGGGGTTATGCAACTCTCTGACCTGTGCAGGTGCGTGTACACGTACGGGCGCGCGCGCGCGGGCGTGCACACACACACACACACACACACACACCCCGGTCAGACCTAAACAGAAGCACACACTGCAGCTGCCATCCTGCTGCCTGCTCTCCACCCTTGAGTGCCTCCTCCATCCTGGCACTGCTCTCGGCTCGGGCCACCACTGAGGCAAGGGTGGCTTCACAGAGGCTGCTCCCCAAGAGGCAGCTCCCCCATGACATTTAGTACAGGATAAGGAAACCCTCATGGGGGGCAAGTCAGTGGCAGGCAGGGACGGGTGGGTGTCATGCAAGCCCAGCCATCACCCCCGCCCCCACGGACGTGGCTGTCACCCCGAGAAATGGCCTCCCAGGCCCCAACTTACTGCACACTTTGGGCTCCATCAGCAGATTAGGGGTGGGAGGAGCCCATGGCCTCAAGTCTTTGGTTTCAACAACCACCACCCACCCCTGCGCCGTGCCAGCTCCGAGCGAGGCAGTGGGAACACAGAGGGAGGAAGACCCAGGCCTGCTCAGTTGGGGATTTAGACACAGAATAGCGATGGTTCCGTGAGGCAGGTTCTATGAGGCATAGAAAGGGTACCCTAGCCCTGGCGGGGGAGGGAATCCCACAGTCAGGGAAGGCTCCCTGGAGACGCTCAGAGTGCAGGGCTTCGGTGGGACCAGTCCCAGGCCAGCAAGGCTTGCAGAGGTGACAGCTCCTGGCTGTTAAGTGGCCCTGGCACACCCCCTCCCACCTCACACCTGCTCCAGCTGGAGCCTGATTGGTCAGTCTACGGCCAAATCCTTCCCACTCTCCAACCACCTCTGAGGGGCAGCGACCCGGACCTGCACCTGCGGGAACCGGAGGCAGTGAATTGAGAGACCTCTGATGCCAAGAGGCACCCAAGAGGCGCTCCAGGGAAGCTGCTCCCCCTCGAGCCGGAGTAGGGTGCAGCCCTCAAGACCTGCTCTCCAAAGGAGGAAGCAGGCTCAGAGCTGCAGAAGCAGAACGCGGCCTCACAGTGGAGGCCCCACGGGGCATCTGTAAGTGATCACATGCCCTGTGCAGCCTGGAGCCTTCGCTCTCCCTGTTCCCGTGTCCTGGGACCCTGGTCACGCCTGGAGAGCTCTGGGCACCTTCAGCGGCAGCGCGGAACATCCCGGCCGCCCTGGCCCAGGCTCAGACTTTGCTTTTTCCCGCTCGCTTTGCCAGACTGCAGTCCCAGCACCTGTGGCTGCACGTGCCACCGCCTGGCCCCGGGTCTGTGGCGGCACCAGGAAGCCCTGGCCTGCGAGGCCAGCTGTCTTCCCGTCTCCTCTCCGGAAGCACACAGAGGCAGCTCAACAAAGTGCTGGAATCCACTCCCTGGACGTGCCGGCTTCCTGGTTTATGCGGCCTTTAGCTCCCAACTCTGACCTCGGAGTCCCTGTCCTCCCGTCTCTGCCTCTTTGCCCCTCAGGAGCCAGGTCTGTGTCCCTGTAAGTGGAGCAGGGGTCCCAGCAGACTCTCGCCATCCACTGCCACCTGACTGCCTCCCAGCCACAGGTGTTAGGAAGGGGCCTATTGGGAACGCATGCAGGGCTTCTATCGACCTGGGAAGAGCTGCTGATCAGAGACTGTCTCCCGAGGAATGGAGGGCTCCCCAGGCTCAGGGAATTTCCCTCCTGCTGTTACAACCCTCAGCGTGATTGTTACAACCCTCAGCGTGGGGTTCCTGCGTAGAGCCTGGCGATGAGGAAGTGAGCTCCATCTCCCCAGCTCCCCCCGCCTCACCCCTGCAGGCCCCGCCACAGCTGCACAAGCAGAGCCCGCAGCCACGGGCAGGTGTGGGCGCTCCCAGGGGCCAGCTTGCCTGGCTGGGGGACCACCGAGCAGCCTGCAGGACTCTCTCCCTCCCGCCTTTATCCTGTTTGTTTAGTTTATCATCTGGACAGACCGTTGGGGGGCCCTGGATGGGTCAGAACAGGCTCCAGCCACAGGCCAGCCTCCAGCCCTGCGGGAAGGGGCGGAGTTTGGCTCCAGAACATGGAGACCTGGGGCCAAGCCCCGGTGTCTGGGAGGCCTCTCCGTCCTCAGTTTACTGAGCCAGAAAATGCCAATGAAAATGCACGCCACGCAAATGGGTCAGGTGGGTTATAGAGACAGTGCTTCTGGCCCACAGCCAGGGCCCCGTGAATCTGGATTGGAAGAAGGAGGAAGGGGCCCCCAGCCAGCCCTGAACGGTTTCGGGAAGCTTTGGCCAAGCCTTTGCCAGGCTCTTACTGAACAAACACTCTTACCGCCCTTGAGACCTGACCTACGCCCCAAGCACCTCTGGAGGGTAGGCTTGTCACCTCGAATCCTGGGGTAACACTGTCCTTTCAAAATTCATGCCCACAGGAACCTCAGAATGGGGCCTTATTTGGAAATGGTCTGTGCAGATGACGTTAACCTCAGTTAAGATGAGGGTGTTCCAGATGAGATGGGCCCTAAATCCAGGCCTGGCTTCCTTGTGAGTAAAAGAGGGGACACGGAGGCACCCGAGGAGCCGGGGAGGAGGCCACGTGACCAACGGGACGGAGGGCGGAGTGATGCGAATCACAGCCAAAGAGTGCGGGGAGCCGCAGGGAGAGGGAAGGGGCAGGGAGGAGCCGCCCAGGAGCCTTCCGAGAAATGCCTTGAGTTCAGAATCTGGACCTCCGGAGCTGCAAGAACCCGCCCTCTGGCAGCCAGGGACCCCGGCGCCCCACGCACTCCTGGCCCTGCCTGAAAGAGCAAGTGATGTCTTCGTGCGTAAAACGCCGGCCAACGCCCATCACAGGACACAGTTGTCATCGCTGTCAACAGCGGTGTTGACAGTCACATAATTACAGTCGCGCCGGGTGCTCACAGCGTCCTCGGTTCACCTGGAGGAGGGAGGCACCACGGTGCTCCTTTCACAGACGAGCCATCAGCTTTGGTGACTCTGCCTGCCCACGGTCACACAGCCCAGCGGCACAGGTGGGGCTGAACCCAGGCGGTCTGAGCCCAGCCCCCACCTACCCATCCCAAACCTGGACACCCTAATTCAGCCCACTGCCTGGCACTGGGAGGCCATACACACCCTGAGTGGCTGGCCCACATGCAGGCTGCCCCTGGCCCTGGCACTGGCCGGCACCACTGACTCCCCGCAGCGTCACTCTGCTATTCATCTCATCTGAGCCTCGGCAACAGCAAAAGGTCGGAAACTCCTGCTTCACAGACAAGGCAGGGCTCCCGGGACTCCTGGGGGGCCACACTCAGGTCCAGAGGGGTCTCGGTGGTGTACACACACAGGACCATGTGCCCTGGCACACCTACAGTTG